TATAATTGACGATATTCTGCGCGTCAATAAAACTACGATATTATTAAAACGTCGATTTCGTGCCCTGAAAACGTGAAATTGACATTGAAGGTGGTTCTATCAGTGGTGAAGATAATTTTTTTGTGCCATTTTTTACGCATCGATTAGGTAATTATTATTCGTCGAGTTCGTCTGCGGATGACAAGCATGCCACGAATTATTCGACAGGTAAAAAATCCCACGAGATTCCCGATTTTTGTCCTGTTTCCTTCAGCAAAAGCGAAATCCTCAGATTTCCATTGCGGACCGAGAACGCTTTTGCTTTTCTTTCTTGAGAGAAAAATTTACATGTCTTTATAAAAAAATCATTCAAGCATATATATAATTAAAAAAAATGAATAATTATAATGTCTGCAAATTCAAGTCTTACTGAATAATGTTCGAATGATGAAATAATGTCTCGCAGCTCATCAATAAAATTCTGTCGGTCCCTAATCTTGAATTTCGAAACGGGCTATTGTTAAGTTGAAATTTTTGGTGGATTTTGCAGTATGCGAAGATCGCATGCGCCCTCGCCATTTTTTCGCAATGCGGTGTTTTTGCGACAGGAGATTTTGCGGGCCGTATCATCAACAAGGGCAACATTCGACCCGGAGGACCCGACGTTTTCCTTGAACCCGTCGTCGGCTACGAGGGTGAGCTTTTCCGAACAGTTATGGACTATTTTGCGAAACTTGTGCTGACAAAATCTGCTGCATAGAGCAATACAAGAAAACCGAGCCATCGATTTTCTTCGTCAATAGCGATGTTTCCGACTATAAAATAACCATCTTGTGTGGGGCTGAGATTCGAGACAAAGTAGCGAAAAACAATTCATCTTCACAAAGGATAAGTTGGAAAATGGAATTTAAACAAATTGAATCATGGCAAGAGTACAGTTTGATTACTACCATTTATTTATTTTGTTTTCAATTCCAAAATTACTTGACGTAACTACTGCGGTATGATCATACTATATATAAAATTCCTTTTTGTATAGTGATGGTAATCTGTCGATTTTTGCGAATTTATCAAATTATATCACAATTTTCTACTTGAAAAACCGTCTTTTACCGAACATCGAAATATGGAATTTTTGAAAGCTAGAGGGACGAATTTATCGACAAAGAATTGATGAGATTCCGTAAAAATATTCCCGATGAAAATCAGCGGAAAAAAAACTGCGTTGACAGTGACGCAGTCGTAGTGGGTTTCGTCAACGCACACTTTTGCTGCGGTTCCGATTTGCATCGTTAGAATTTTCATGCTGTCAGTATCTTTCTTTTGGAAATCCGGTTATTAATATCCCGATTATTAACGCAATTGTATGTTCTAATTTTTTTGCATTCAACAGCACCCCCAGCACCGCAACCCAGTTATGGAGCCCCACCAGCATCAAACAGCTACTCTGTGCCCAGCCAGAGTTATTCAGGTGATCCCATCTCAATTAAACCTTTTTCCTACTGTCATTACGCGTTTCGATTCGTTTTCTCCGTCTTGACTATTTTCGTCGTGTATGCTCACGCGATTAGAACGACGATCGACGCGTATTCTAGAGGCCTGATCCTGCTGCTGAACCGAAACGGCAATGTTACGATTTCTAGAACCCGTTTGAGGACTAATTTCCCGCTCGTTATTCAACATTTGTCCTCCGATGACACAGATTTTTAGCAAGAGATTCCTCAGTTGAAAATTCTGGCCAATTAATAAAGCAATTTCAAGTGTCAAATACGGAATTTACGCTCCCAAAAGACTTGGCGTATATGGAAAATATTTTCGAAAGTGTTCTATAGTGTTCAAAATTTTTGCAAGAAGATAATTTCTCCTCTATTTTTCTGTTTGATATCGAAGGTTACGGTTCAGGTCAAGTTTGAGAAGCTGTTTACGTAATTTTTTGTAGTTTCTAACTGAATTACCAACTGTCCAGTATCTGATGAGAAAAAGAGGTGAAGAATATTCCGGTAAATTTGCCTTATATTTTGCGGTCGATGAAAGGGTTAGTCTGCGAACTGGAAGAAGGCCAAAATCAGTTGCTGTTTTATGTCGTTATCAGGTGATTACGGCGTGCCTCAATATGGTCCCCCCGTGGTGGCGTATGCACACCCGAAACTGAAGGACCAAACCGGCATCTTGTCGCTTTTCGATGGTTACAAGCAGAGCTTGAAGGATGGATTGGACGTTTGGTCAGAGGATGTCAAGGGATTCTTCAAGGGGAAGCCGGCCTTGAAAAAGTCCTTCGACGAGGGTTTCAAGAACAAGGGGTTTGGGGCTCCCCCGGTTTATGGCAACTTCAGACTGGGTGTCAAATACCATCCCAAGGTTTGTTTTCCATTTCCGCGCCTTGAACGAGTATAAACCATATAACGCCTGGGGTTTTTCATTAACGGACGATAATTCAAGTATTTTGTGAGACTGAATATGAACTATGATCTCATATTCCATCGGAAAAAACCGGATATTTTTAGGAGGATTTGGATCAAATTTCTTAGATTTCAAAGTTTTCATTTGTTCAGTTATTATTGTCTGGGTATTCTGGTCAGTCCTTGACAGGGAAAGTATTTCTAGTTCTGAACGATTTTTATTTCCATGGTGATTGACCTTACTTTTTAATGCTTCTCTCTTTTTTAAACTTTAGTTTTAAATTGTATTGGTTTTAAATTGGAAGTTTGATCTTAAGTTCAATTTTTTTAAACACATTTCTTTTTTTTCACAGCCTCCCCACGTGAATTACCACGTGCCTTCCACCTATGGACCCCCGATTCCGGATTTTGTACCAGCTACTTATGGTGCCCCAGCAGCACCAGCTCCAGCTCCAGTTGACACCTACGGGGCACCAGCACCAGCTCCTGCACCAGCTGCGGCGTACAGATCATCTCCACCAGCAGATACCTATGGTGCCCCTGTACCAGCACCAGCTGAAACGTATGGCGCACCTGCTGCACCAACTGCAACTTATGGGGCACCTGAAGCACCACCAGCCGATTCTTATGGAGCTCCAGCACCTGCGCCAGTTTCTACTTATGGCGCACCTGCACCAGCACCAACCGATTCTTATGGAGCCCCTGCACCAGCACCGGCACCAGTTTCTACTTATGGCGCCCCTGCACCTGCACCAGCACCAGCCGATTCTTATGGAGCCCCTGCACCAGCACCGGCACCAGTTTCTACTTATGGAGCCCCTGCTCCAGCACCGGCACCAGTTTCTACTTATGGCGCCCCTGCACCAGCACCAGCCGATTCTTATGGTGCACCTGAAGCCGCACCAGCTGTGACATACGGCGCCCCTGCGCCAGCACCGGCACCAACGAATTCTTATGGTCCACCGGCACCAGCACCAGCTGATTCCTACGGCGCCCCTGCTGAGGCACCAAGTGACTCGTATGGAGCTCCTGCACCAGCCCCAGTGTCATACCAGGCACCTGTTGTACATTCAACCACAGCAGTTCGCAATGCAGCTCAAGGTATCCCTGCGGTGGCACCGTCGACCAACTACGGAGCCCCCGCTGCTGCACCAGCTGATTCCTACAGTGTTCCCGCAACGCCATCTGCCGGTTATGGAGCACCAGTCCCGGCACCCACGGATACGTACGGACCACCGGCGCAAGCCACTGTGAGTCAGACTAACTCGCACCTTTGAATCGGTCGCGAAATGTTGAATCTTTTTGCATTTTCATTCGATTTTTTAATTTTCATTTTTTCACTGCCGAGTATGAGGCGTTTGTAAATTATTTATTGAACTCAATACGGCCATAATATCCCTTGCGGTTGAAGAATACTGTATTTTTTGTTTCAAGTAAGTAGGCACGCAGACTAAATGGACGCACAATTTCGAAATTCACAGCTCGAATACAGAACGTGAATAAAATTACAGTATCAGTACAGCCGTTTAGCTTGAATTTTTGAAACACTATAGTTCTTTTAGAGGATTCATTTTTCATTCACTCAGTTCTCTCCATTTTTTTTGTTGCATATCTGATCTCTAAAATAGTCACGTCTTCAAATGAAATTGTTGAAGTTCCAGAGGAATGTTTCTAAAAAAAATCCCGGCGTCGCATTTCAATTTATTTTGTCCATGTTGTTTTTGCATTACCATGGGGATTGAATAAAAATATGTTTACACCGGAAACATTCCCCTGGAACTGCTTTATTTCAATTACGATATTCACATTGTTCACTGTACCAGTCTTCTTCATACTTGAAAACCCGTTTCAGTAAAGTATTAACTGAACAAAAAGTTTAGCACTGTTATAACTAAAGTATTTGGAATTTTATTTGGCCATTTTAATAGATGCACTCATACAGTATAACTAACAGTTGGTTTCTCTTACATGACGAATTCCAAAAATACTTAAAAAGATGTTTCTTTAAGCATTTTTGGTGCTTAGAAAATACAGAGAACTACTTGAAACCTGAAATCAAAGTTTGCTCGACAAAAGAGGAAATAGTTGAGCCTTTCTTACCGAATATATTGAAATATTTTTCGCCCTTCATGATTCTTTATAAAAATCTCAACATGCAGTAAACTTGAAATTTCCAAGTTACTTAGGTTTGAGATATCCGCGTATCTGTCGAAATCATCACTTACGCAACTAATAAAGCTACGAGAACAATATTGTGTCCGGGTTTAACGGGATGTTTTTTTGTGCCTTTTTTGGTGCTTATGGAAGTGTGAGGTATTTTCCAATCAAACGTTACAAATTTTAGACCTGCCTAAAATCGCAAAGGACCTCGTAACCATGTCTTATGTATAAGCTATCACCTTTTTTTTTTCAATATAAACGCGGCAGAAAGTCAAATTTTATTTCACTGTATAAGTAGTTTTTTTGAATCAGCTTCATGCGGTACGTGTCATTGATTCGTCAGTACAGCGAGGCCAACGCCGGACCCGCGCCATCAATCACCGCCTCCTATCCCCGGCATCAGCCCCAGGCGTCGTCCTATCGGTCGACCAGTTCCGGCACGGGACCCCTCCTCCCGTCCTACGCCGAGAAGGGCCCGCCCCTGGCGGTTACCAACTCGCAGGCTCCCTCCCCCGCGTCCTCGCAGCATGGCGCAGGTCCCGCCCCCGCGGCCCAGCAGTCATCACCTTCCGAGACCGGGACGTCGAATACCTCGTACTCAGGGCAAAGCTCTTCGGATTCCGTGATATACGCGGAGGCGCCGCCGGAAGTGGCGGAGTCGCTCATGGGACTCACGGAGCAATCGGTGGCGGGTACGGACCGAGAGGCCAATACCACGGAAGCGGATACGAGTAAAACTGCGCTAGTTCGTCGGCGGATAGCGGCTGCAGCTGCCGAGAGGGCGGTTGCCGAGTAAGTGACATTTTTTTTCTGCATAACTTGCAGAAAGAACCAATATTCATGGTTTTTTTTTCCGGAGTTGGACGCCTTTTCCATCTCACATATAATGAGATGTTACGAGCAGTTTTCCTGCGAAATTTAACGGAAAAATCGGTATGGTATGATTACGGTAATATTCCTATTCCGAACTCGTATTCACGCTTCCGGTTGGATGTAAAGGACACACCTGCTAATAATTTTAGAGGCTCGTCTGAATATCTGATTGAAAACAGTAAACGTTTTTTCGTGGTGATTATACAGTACGCCCTTTAATTATGTCGAAATCTCTTGAGCTTTGATATCATCTTCCATGATAATGGAGAATGGATGAAAACCGACAGACAAATGATTCAACTCTCCGCAACAGGAAAGCGTAACACGTTTTGGGTTAAAATGAGACGTTCAATGAATCGATTTTGGATGTTTTCATTATTCGAGGTACAGTATTATATGTTTTAATGAAGATTCATCGTTGCAATAATTGTATCGCGGTATGTAGGGATCATGTATATGATTCGAGTTCATGATTAATCTTCTCTCTGATGTGCTAGTGCTTGGTTCCCGTGACTTAATTGTTTGTGTTTCGTTCGGAACAGCTACTGTATTTATCGGTTACAGGAATTCATCTAAATCAGTGTTTCCCGACCTTTTTGTGCCCGCGGTCCAGCAAATTTCCATGAACAATTTTTTGCGGTCCGGTAAATTCCGAAAAACTTTCTGCAGACAAGTAAAGTTTCTTAAAATTTTTGCAGATACAAGAAGGCTTTGCTTGAAAGACATTATGACAGGTATTTGAAAGCTTAATTTTTGCGAAAATGAAGTTGAGCACAAATGAAGCAGCAGCTCTCCACTCAACAGATGAGGAGCGCACTTTCTACAGTTTTTTGTTGTTTTAGCCCAGCTTTCCTCTCAGAATACAGTACTTGAAATCAATGCATTAATTTAAAGGGTTGCCTCCAGGTCTTCCAAGGTATTTCCGCCATTTTCATCTATGGCTGCCTTCACAGCCACCAATGTGTTTGCTGCCAGGGTGAATTTTGCAAAACATTCAAAAAAAGTTGTCAAACAGGGCTGATTTGTTTGTGTGCCAAAGAATATGTTTTCTCTAAAGAATACTTTTTTTCCAGCTCAAGTATACGCCATTTTCATTTCTCTTTGAAAAACTTTTGTGAGAACTCTCTTATATACTGTATTAGCTAGTTTATTATCCTGTTGATGTACCAGAGATAGTTTGCTGTGAATTCACTGTGTCATCGCATGTGTAGGATACAAGATACAACCGAATGCGTAAAGGATGCCTCCCTTTTACAATGTTTAAATTGAAAAACAGAGGCGTCTGATGATATTTGATTGAATGCGGTTATGCCCTGTTCAAGAGATATTGGACATCTAGAAGATGCTGTTGAGGAGGCTTACGATAAATATAGATCGTATTTGATTTCAACTCCTGCTATTTATGTAAATCCCAGTGAGACCCCAAGATGAGGACATAATTGGTGTATCAAGAGTATACTGATGTTACAATGTCCCAAAGTCATGTCTAATTTTCCCTTGGGCTTCAACACTAATGTATTTAAATGGTACTCCTTTTTGTCAAAAACTAGAAATATGTCCTAGAACAAACTTATAAAAATTGTTTCCCTCAACTTCAAGTTTTGTAGAAAATAACAGTGCAAAACAAAAACACATAGAATCTGATCTTTTGGTATCACGTGGAGATAAAAAATTCAAAGAAAAAGAACAAGTCTTGCTGGAATATGCACAGATGATAGAAACAAAACTCTGAAAAAAGAAGCACAAAATCAGCTTGCTTTTGATTATGAATTAGAGTGAATTTATCATGAAATATTTTTTCAATTTTTTTGAATATATATGGCTTGATGTGTTCAAAATACATCAAATTAAAAAACAATGCTTTGATTTCTTGGGAAAATTACAGAAAATGTCCCTAACTCGAGCAAATGTCCAGATGTTGGGCCTGATTTTTTAAATTTTATTTTCCAGTGAGTCCCCAAGTCGAATTGTCCATATGTCAGGGTGTCCGCATACAGTATTGATGTCTCACTGCATTGTGCATCATGTAATGTCAAAATTTTTTTGGCAATTCGCGCATCAGAGTTCAAGTCAGGAAGTTTTCTAACTATCTGACGTTGTGAATTGGTTTGAATATTGAATGTACAGTACTCGTATAATGTACTTCGCTGACGATTGAAAATAACGTTCGTCTTTTTCACTCGCAAACCTTCTTGGATTCATTTTCGGTGGTACTCTTCGTTATACACACGAGTTGAATTCAAAGATTTTTCATTAGGTGTCAACTTTGGCTATATTTCCACGCACATGAAAATCAAACGGTTTGAATACTTTCTGCATGATGAGCAAACATTCCCAACAATTTTCATCTGTAATACGAACCAATGTATTTACAGTGTCAAGCTCTTCCAGCCGACACAAATACGAACACGCATCAAAAAATTTCGGGGTGCCACATTTTACAAATCTAGGAAAGATCGTACTTATATTTAAAAGGAATTCAATAAAATTCTACATTCGAAAATTCTTTTTTTCCCGCACATCAAGTCCCCCAAACTCGATGAAGCATTTTTAAAAGTTTTTCTTTCCAAACATTCACATATTGAAA